GAAAGTATTTTAAGAATTTTTTTAAACTTGTCTAATATTTTTCACTTGGAATATAACAAACCAAGGTACAGATTTATTCTTTGTATCGTACTTATAATAATTCCGAATAAATAACTGAGTAGATTCCTGAATTATCAGCAAAAATTATGGTAACTACTGTAAACAACGATAATTAAAGTTTTAATCAAACAACAAAAAATTATAACAAAATATAAATATAAACTACATGTACTTCGCGCTTTTTTCAATGTGCGCTTTTTTCCATGTGCGCTTTTATACCCGTGAGCTTTTTTCCGTGTGCGGTTTTTTCCGTGTGCACATATTTCCTCGTGCAGTTATTTCCTGTGCGCTTATATGTCTGTGCGCTTTTTTCTGTGCGCATATTTTCTTGTGCGCTTTTTTCCGGTCACCGTTTTATGTAGTTTTTAATTGACGAACTATTTTGTTTCAAATTTTTGATGATACTTTTTTAATAAAATATTTAGTAATTATTCCATAATTTAGAGTTTTGTTATTTTGTCCGGATTTTTAAAGAAACGTCCGTAATTTACATTAGAAGATTTTAAAATGCAGAACCATTCACCATGCTAATTTTTTTGTATCAATAAACCATACTTGCTATTTTTAAAGCATCAGCGGTACATAATATTTACGCTTTGCCTCCTAGAACCCAATTCCTTAAAAAATAAGTTGGTATCTAAGATATGGTAATATTAAAACAGTAAATTCCATGAATGTGTTTTTGTTCAAAGGTCGTCCACCACGCCCCAGCCAATCGATTATTCATATTCAAACGTTTCGAACTGTCTACTTGTGGACTTAGACAAAATTTATTGTTTTTTTTTTTGGTCGGATATGCGTAAAAATAATATTAAAAGTAACAGGTGTAAATTATTTTTTCGATATCAGTCAATTCAATCCAACGTAAATAAACTAAAACCAAATAATCAAAATAGTCATTTATAACCTAAAGTTGTTACTAATTGGGAATATTTTTGTAAAAAAAATGGATACAGATCCATAATAGGAATTAAATTTAGTGGTAAAACATTTCTAAATAGAATTGCATTTATAATAGGATTTAATTTATATATTATTTTTTAGATCATCAAAAGTTGTTTTGACATTAAAAATGTTTTAACTTTATTTTTGTATTAAATACAAAAACATACCACATATTCCTTAGACCAAAATAAGTCGATTTAAGTAAAATTACCTTAGTACAAAGTTGCTTCGTTTGGGCTCCAGAGGGCCTTGAAGTTACAATTTTTAAATCGTTTTTCCCATATAAATTTTAAACGGCATATACGATTTTGCTGAAATTTGGTATATTGGTAGAGTTTTATGTGGCAAAAAAAATGGTATTAAAATTTTGTCCCATAATAATACATAGGCGTAGAACTTGATTTTTTAAATAATTGCACCTTTAAAAATTCTATGCCAATGGAAGAAAAGGAGTTTGAGCATGAAATTTAGATTGCGCAACTCATTTACTTTAAAAAAGGTACTCTTGATAAAACTCGATTACTCTCATGGTTTTCGCTAAATTTTTATTTTAATAATTTAGAGTGTATAGGTTTCACAAAAATATTTATTTACAACATAATCAAAATAGAGATTTTACAAAAACTGTTCAAAATGTTCACCATTTTCACGCATACAAAGATTTATACGTCGAAGAAAATTAAAATGTATCCTTTCCATAATTTCTTTATCACCTCTAAGATTGTTTATTGCATCTTGAATACGTTGCCGGAGTTGTTCCTCATTTTCTACAGATTCCCTGTAAACTGTGGATTTCAGATGTCCCCATAAAAAGTAATCCATCGGTGTTAGGTCTGGGTCCAGTTTACAGGTGCGTCATTACCTCTGCCTATCCATTTGTGTGGATATTGTTCATTCAAGTGGTTTCTAACGTTTAAAGAAAAATGTGGTGGAGCTCCATCTTGCATAAACCACATATCTCTCCGAAGTTGGAGAGGTAAATCTTCTAACAATTCTGGCAACGTATTTTGTAGAAAATCCAAATAATTTTCTCCAGTTAATCTTCGTGGAAGTATGACAGGACCAACAATGAAATTACCAATCATTCCAGCCCACACATTAATTTTGAATTCGTCCTGAAAATGGTTTACCTTTATTGCATGCGGATTTTCAACGGCATAAATATGTTCATTATGGGTATTAGTTATACCTCTTCTTGTAAAACCCGCTTCATCGGTAAAGAGAACCTTCTTGACAAAGTTTGGATCTCGTTCTCTTTGCATATTAACAAATCGACAAAAACCCAAACGAATTTGAGGATCATGGCCTAATAATTCTTGTACTGGCTTCTTAAGGTATGGATATAGCAATTGTTCTCTAAGCACTTTATGAACGACATCTTTACTTACTCCTAGTTCCCTTCCAATTCGTCGGGTGCTTAATTCTGGATCTTCTTCAACACGTTCTAGAATGTCTTCTTCAACATCTGGAATCCTTACAAAACGTTCTCTTCCATTATCAACAGTGTTGGGAGCAAAGGAACCGGTCTCCCGAAGACGTCTCTCAACAGCAGCAAAAGTTGGGTGGCTAGGTACACGACGATTTGGAAACCTTTCAGAGTACACCCTGACACTCTCTCGAGCATTTCCTTCACAAAATCCTAATGTCAGTAACATATCGGTATATTCTGCATTGGTATATTGTACAGCCATATTAATAAACCACGCATTTGTTTTTTTAATTATTGAGTCAGATAGAACACTTTCAATCGTTAACAAGAGATTAGGTGTTAAAACTTGACAATATTTTTATTTAGATGAAACTATGGAAACCAACAATAAATGTTTTTGTATACGTATTGCAGGCAAATAATTAATATTCCTCAAAAAATCGTACATGGCAAGAATCAAGTATTTTTGTTAAAAGTCTCGATTAGAGGTGTTGAAGAAGATATGAATAAAGTACATTTTTATGTTTTTCATCGTATAAAATTTTGTCCGATGATAATAATACATAGGCGTAGAACTTGATTTTTTAAATAGTTGCATCTTTAAAAATTCTACGCCAATGGCAAAAAAGGGGATTGAGTATGAAATTTGGATTGGGTACTCATTTACTACAAAAAAGTACGCTTGATAACACTCGATTTACTCTCATGGTTTTGACAAAGTTTGTATTTTAATAATTATTGATTATGTTCTAAAATTACTAAAATGCAAATTTCGTCAAAACCATGAGAGTAATCGAGTCTTATCAAGAGTACCTTTTTTTAAAGTAAATGAGTTGCGCAATGTTAATTTCATACTTAAACTCCTTTTCTTCCGTTGGCGTAGAATTTTTAAAGGTGCAATTATTTAAAAAATCAAGTTATACGCCTATATATTATTATAGGACAAAATTTTAATACCATTTTTTTTGCCACATAAAACTCTACCAATATACCAAATTTCAGCAAAATAGCATATGCCGTTTTAAATTTATATGAGAAAAACGATTTAAAAATTGTAACTTCAAGGCCCTCTGGAGCCCAAACGAAGCAACTTTGTACAAAGGTAATTTTACTTAAATCGACTTATTTTGGTCTAAGGAATATGTGGTATGTTTTTGTAACTTTTACAAACACCCTGTATATTTGTTTACATTATATCAATACTATTATTCAATTTTTATATTAATAAACTAATCAATTATTTTTAGAAGTTATTGGTGGCCTAATGCCTGATATACCATATGAAAATACTGACTTAGCAAAAGAATATTAAATGACTCTTAGACGCAAATGTTCAAACTTGTGTACTATTGATTCCGCTTGTAAATCCCATCTCAAATGCAGTGCTATTTCCAGAACCAATGTTTGTAAAAAACAATATAGATAATAGACTTCTTAAAGATTAACATTCTTCGCAACCTGATTCAAGAAATCAATCAATAACACAAACTTTTTCACACATAATTACCATTCTTCACCAGATTCAATCAATCATTCTATCCCGATTACGCACAAAAATTTGCATGAATCCATTTATAATAAACATCGCCGACAAATTACTTTCTGTATTAAAAAAGAAGAAAAAAAAACTTCGACATTGTTTGATGTATAAATTTAATTTTCCTTATAACGGGAACCGCGCTCAAGTTTATTAGATTACATCGTATATTTGTTAGCTAAACCAAAACTTTTATAAAGAAAACAAAAACGGATGGAGAGTTACTTACATCTAGATAAAGATTTGTTTCGTTTTGGGACGAACGTATTTTTTAAAGTGGATAAGAAATGCTGATTCGAAGAAAGGAAAAGTTTTCTTGAAAAAGGCTTGGAGTAAAATTAAAATTGTTTTTATGTGTATTCTGTTTCCACTTTGTAATGCATTTTTTAACCAGTGTATTATTCCCCTTCAAAACAACATGTTTTGTTTATACAGGAAAGTTAGACATATTGTCATAGGCGTACGAAAATATAATTTAACTGAATTTAAAAAATTAAACTTTCGAATGTTAGTTTATTTAAAATAGCCTTACTATTCGCTCAGTGCGAATTCATGGTAGGGGAAGTAAAAGCGATATTAGCGCTATAACTGCGGATAATTCGTGCATTTTAGGGCGATATTTTGTAATTTTGGCATATCAAATACACGTATACGTTTTACTTTTTTTTTCCAAAAGTAGTTAAAAATAATGAAAATTGTAAAAAAACCAGGAAAAAAAACTGTAAATCATAAAAATTTTCCGTAGCAAAGTGGAGATTAAATCAAAGCAGTTAATGGATTGATGTACAATACGAAGAACAATTACCTTCATTTTTGTAATAATAACAGTAATCGTAGGAAAATACGTCACTTCTAGTGCATCGACCCGATTCTCATTTTTAGTTAAGTCCTATTCAGTTTGGAAAGCATTTTCAAGAATAATTCTTATCTTTTTTCAACGCAAAACAGCACAGCGTACATAAACTCTCATAATATCTAGATAAATATAATTTAAATTCAGATCTACTTGAGAAAGAAAAGCGGTTTTACCTGGTAAACACGAGGCAGATCAGCGTCGCTGAGAGAATTGTAAGTTGTTGAGATAGAGCCGATTGAGACTTCTGCATGGCTCTGTGGAGATCATTCTGTAACAAAGTAACTACGGGTTAGAAAGAACTAATCTGTGGATGTATATTGCAATGCACGTGTTGTGTGTACACTGCATCTATTAAATGGAAGAGTGCCTTCGGGGGATGAACATTTTCATGTTTGGTTTAGTTTTCTATTTTTTTAGCGTTTTGAGGTTTGAGTATGTAAAATTATTCTCTAACTTTTAACCGATAACGTATAGTAACAAAAGTGCCAACTGAACTTTTTAACAAAGCTCGATCACTGAGTACGATATTATGGCATTCTCTAATGCTAGATGCTTATGCTATCCTCAAGTGGTTTTCATTTTTTTTTTGTAAACTCTATTAAATATATAAATTAAGAAATTTCCAGTTATTTTCCATTGCGACATGATTGCTATTAACGTTTTATTCTTATTTAGTTGAAAATTATTGACAGAAAATTAAGACTTAGCCACACTTATCACAGTGCATCACTTTGATCAACCAAGTGCCAATATATGACATTAGAAATAATAAAAAATTTATCGTCATAAAAAAGAATTACAAGCCATTTTATTGTCATGTAGTGTAACTTAAGTCATTGATGTATACGATGAACAATAGTGGCCCCAGAACAGATCCTTGGGAATACCATAAGCACTGAAAAACTAAGCATTTTTTTATATAAATGAGTTATTGATATTATATTAATATTGGTCAAATTAACAGAAATTTATTTGTTTAAAATATAAAAAATTATTTTTTCTTGTAAATTTTCTTCAAAATTATACGTATTTCAATTAAATATCGCAGGCTTTAAAGTAAATAATTCAGGTAGGTAGGTACACTCTGAAAAAGCTTTTCTTGAATCAAATAAATAGATTTGTTTAAAATCTGTGTTAAACAAATTTAGTTTAATACAAGACTACCATCTCACCGACCAGCAAAAGAAATGACCAGCAACAATATCACTGGAAGGAACATTCTCATCTATACAGATAGCAGGCAAGCACTATGCACCCTGAACAGACCACGAATTTATTCAGGGTTAGTACTAGAATATCACGAAGCTTTGGCCGAAGTATCCATCAACAATGTGGTCACCTTAAGATGGATCAAAGGTCACGCTACATCGAAAGGTAACCGTCTTGCCGATTTACTAGCCAAGAAAGCAGCCAACCAAATACTTTTTGGACCTGGCCTTTCTATTAGCCTGACAAAATCGGTAGTGACAGACCTAATTAAAGAACATTCCCTTGTGAAATTCAAGGAAAGATGGGATGAAACAAGAAACTGCAGAGTTGTCAGGGAGCCCTTAAGTTATATTGACAACACTGCAGCAAACAAATACTTTACTATGACTAGATAGAATCTGCGTCTGGTCACAGGCATTCTGACTGGTCATTGCCAAGTACGCAAGCATCTCCATATCAGAATCCGCACTCTGCAGAGGGTGCGAACAAGAAGATGAGACCATCGAGCATATCCTTTACGATTGCTCGACGTTCTCATTTATTAGAAGATTTGTGTTCGGCGAGTATCGGCTAACACCGGCCGATATAAGAGAAGCATCTCTTGGTGACTTTGTCAACTACATTAAATCTGTAGGCTGGCTCACGAGCTAGGAGGTGCCTATCATCTTAGGAGGATGCACAATGGGCCTAATGAAGCCTAAGTGCCGTGGGGGTAATCCACCCTCCACACGTTACAGATACATATACAGAACACAAGACCACCATCCTTGCGTAAAGAAATTCGAGTTATATAAATACACATTTCAGGTACTTATTATTAAATAAATATTTATTTAAGTAGCAATAAATATTTGTTTGAATTTTTCAATACATAAATAAATTGAAATAAATATTTGTTTTTTCAAAGACAAGGTCAGGTGTTTCTCGAAGTTGGTTTACTTCTTCTTCATGGTCACCCTCAAATGGCGCCAACCTGTTTTGATGCACTACCTTCGGTTTACCATTTGGGATCTTACTTATACGGTAAATGACATCTGTCTCTTCCACGGGTATAGTCTGAAGGACATCCAAAGCGTCTCCTCGAAGGGCAATGGTCAAATTTATTGCCTTCTCTCTTTCAAACCACTAGTTTGCTCTGGCAGCTGTTTTGAACTGCTTAAGGTAGTTCGTCCAAGACATCTTCCCGTCAAAAGTTGGGGCATTAACACGAGGAGAGTTACAGCTTTCAACTTCGACTCCACACCTCATGGCACTTAATTTCAACGTCCTTGGCCGGGTCTGAATGTTAAAGTTCTTCTATCATCTTTTCCATTTCTTTTATTTTCTCCTCAACGGAAGTCATTATTTTCTCCATAACAGAAGTCATCTTATTTTCCACATCAGCAGAAATTTCATTTTTCAGAGAAGACATTTTGTTTTCCAAGTCGGAAGAAATTTAATCTTTTAAAGAAGAGATATCAGAAGAAACTTTAGTTTCTAAAAAAGAGATTTCGTTTTTCACGGAAGTCATATCAGAAGACATCTTTTCTTCTAAGGAAGAAATATCAGACGAAACTTTATTTTCTAAAGAGGAAATATTAGAAGAAATATCGGTTTTCATGGAAGACATATCAGAAGAAATTGAAGAATTATAGCAGACGCATCATCCGAAAATAGAAAAGTTTCCGGATCCAAACCTTCATTTTCTAGTGCTTTTTTAAGTCGTTCTGCCAGCTCTGATTTCTTCCCTGTCGTCTCCAGTTCAAGTTCTTCTAATTCTCGACGTAGCTCAGGGACTGTTAAATCACAAAGTCTTTTAGCCATTATTGTCCACTATTTATTTACACTATTCCACTTCTCGACACTAATGTGATGTTTGTTTATTTTAAACAACAGTTATATACAGGGTGTTATTGAAATACACGTACATATTAAAACTGGGTATTGCGCAGATCCCCACTGAATGTAGAAAAATATTATTTTTTAAAAATACCCCTTATTAAGGGAGTTATTAATTTTTGAAAATTAATTCTAAAACAAACGTACTTCACTGATATGTTGAGGATGACCTATATAAATTAGGTTTATTTACCTATTTTAAACATCAACAGTAATTAATATGCAAGTTTTTGTCAGATGATAACAAAACTAGTCTTGTAAGAAATAACCATGTTGCCAAGATTTTCGAATTAATTTCTATTTCCGAAGACTGGTTTTTACTACCCTCGTTATCAAAAAACTAGAATATTTGATAAATGATTGTTTTTAAACTATACATTTTTGAAACTATAGATTATTAAAATTTTAGTTGATTTACGAATCTGGCTAACACGAGCGCGTCATTTCCAAGTTGGTAAAAAGTGTTGTTACGATTACTTTTAAATATTTTTTTACGATGCCACTATTTACGAATATTGAACTAACGGATATAGTGCTGGTTTATGGGGCAGCTGGAGAAAATTCTCGGCAAGCACAAATCCTGTATCGCGAACGGTTTCCAAATCGTACGTTTATTTCAACTGTTCAGCATCTAAGAGACCATGGAAAATTTGAGAGTGTCAATGCAGATCGAGGGAGAACAAGAACACAAAGAACATTGGCGGCCGAAGAAGAAATATTCGAAGCTGTTGAAAACCGGCCTCAATTAAGTTGTAGAAGACTAGGTCTTGAAATTGGAGTGTCCTCATTTGTTGTGTGGCGGACACTTAAAGAACAAGGTTTACATCCTTATCACATCCAAAAAGTCCAGGCCTTATATCCAGGTGATGAAGAAAAGAGAGTGGAGTTTTGTGAATGGATGATTCAAAAATGTGTTGATATTCCTGATTTTCTAAAAATATTATTGTATACTGACGAGGCTTCATTCACTCGTGATGGCGTGTTCAATATGCACAATACGCATATTTGAAGTGATGAAAATCCTCACGCCATTAGGGAAACTGGGCATCAAAGAAAATTTTCAATAAATGTTTGGGCTGGCATAATAGATCAGTATTTAATCGGGCCTTATGTTCTCCCGAACAGATTAAATGGGCCAGGATATCTCCACTTTTTAGAAGATATTTTGCCAGTACTTCTAGAAGAGATACCGTTACAATTAAGGCAACGGATGTGGTACCTACTAGATGGCGCTCCTCCTCACTTTGATTTAAACGTACGGCAGTTTTTGAACATTAGATTTCCTCAAAAGTGGATAGGCAGAAATGGACCTACTAAGTGGCCTCCGAGATCTCCGGACTTAAATCTATGCGATTTCTTTTTGTGGGGTCACATGAAACAACTGGTTTATAATGAACCTATTAATAGTGTTGAACAATTAACCAATAAAGTTAATGCGGTAGCCGAGGAACTACGACAAAATCCAAGACTAATTTCTAATGTTCAAAGTTCTTTGGAAAGACGATTGCAAGTGTGTGTAAATAATAATGGACGGCATTTTGAACAATTACTGTAATAAACTTTATTTTGAATTAATTGGTTTTGCTACGGCAACAGTGCAATTTCTATGGGTAAGTTCAATTTCGATTTATTTTAATTCTTTAAATATGGAAACTAGTAGGTCGGAAAAGGGGACTCTTCCCCAATATTTAAATTTTAGAATTTGAAGTTAAAATTGGTGCCAATCGTTTTTGGTCATTACATACTATTCCCCATTTTAATATGTACGTGTATTTCAATAACACCCTGTATAGTTCAAATGTCTTTAAACTGATCACTATTTATATAGGTACACCACTGCCTATCTACTAATTAATTCCCGCTTGGTCCTCCACCAATATTTATATACAAATTTAAAAGTTTGGCTAAGGTGTTAGAAAGTTCACCTATTCTCACCAATACACTAGAAACATTATTCCGTTCTTTCTCGAATAGTTATCGAAAGCTTCTCCGCCATAGTCGTCACATATGTTTGGTCTTAAGGGGTTTAATTATGTATGATAATTGGACAAGTTGAGCCTCAAAGGCCAAATAAGATAGAGAGGGAATTGGAGGATTAGAGCATGACTGAATAATGAAATGGCTCACATTACACTTTTGAATAAAAAAATTAATCAACCTACCCTTTCATAAAAATTGACA